CTGATTCGATTGAGCTGCATTTTTGGGTTTGGAAGCCTTGATTCTACTGATACCATTTTAGATTTTAGTTCCTTTTTTGTTGTTCTTTTCAATTTTTTTGTTTGAAGTGTAGTAATTACTGATTTACTCGATCTGGGTTTTGTTGGGTTTGGACAATTTTTGCTGAATGTAGTCATGGTCTCATTTTGAAGAGTGAAAGATTGGAAAAAGAGAAGAAGAAAAAAAAAAGAACAGTGTTAATAAGAGTGTGTCTCATTGGCATTTCAATGGAGATTTTGTGATTCTGAACTCAGAAACCACATTTCTTGACAAAAAAAGAAAAAGAAAAGATGGCTTCTCTGTTACCACCATTGATTCCTACTCAAACTGACCCACCACCTTCCACAACAAACTCAACAACTTCTCCTCCTCCTCCTTCGTCTTCTCCATCCACTCCCTCCTCCGCGCCGCCTCCTCAATTACCCACTCCTTCCGCTCCTCCCCCATCTCCGCCAGCGGCTCCTCCGCCGGAAACCTCACCGCCGCCACCTCCTCCTTCACCAGCACCACCCACACCTCCGACCGCCCCGCCGCCGGAATCTCCTTCGCCACCACCACCAAGCTCACCGCCGCCATCTCCCCCAACCGCCCCACCACCAGCAACTACTTCCCCTTCCCAGCCAACCGCCTCTCCTCCGCCGCCTCCTTTATCGCAAACTTCCCCACCGCCGCCGGAATCCGCAACAACTCCGGCACCACCACCTCCATCAGATGGAAATTCTCCACCACCGGAATCCCCCGCCACCCCCGTGACCTCTCCTCCTCCTCCACCTTCTCCTCCTACATCCACCACGCCTTCTCCTCCGCCTCCTTCCGACAGCCCTCCGTCCACCACGCCTTCTCCTCCACCTCCTGCCGACAGCCCTCCGTCCACAACGCCTTCTCCTCTGCCTCCTGCCGACAGCCCTCCGCCACCACCGTCTGTGGTGGATACACCACCATCACCGGAGTCACCTCCAACACCGGTGGGCTCGCCACCTATTCCGCCGGCCTCCAGCCCACCTTCCAACTCGTCAACAACCCCGCCGCCAACTATATCTTCACCTCGTCCTCCTCCATCTAGAAATGCATCAACCAATGGGAGCACGACACCTGGAACACTCCCCTCGCCTCCCACCACTACCGCAGAGAAACCAACGGCGGGCCCAACTTCGGCCAGGCCAAATACAGTTTCGGGTGCAACACCAGCAAACTCCGCTGGTCTGAGTGGCGGAGGTGCAGCGGTTGTCGGCAGCATTGTGGGTGTTTTGGCGCTCAGTCTTGTTGTTTTTGCTGTCTGGTACTTACGTAAAAGAACGAGAAGGAAGGACAAGTTTAGTCTCGGATATAATATGCCCTCGCCCTATGCATCCTCCCATAACTCAGGTACTTTTCCTCTATATTATTTTTCCTTTTACTTCTTGAGTTGTGTATCATATGATTTGGGTTGATTGATGTGTTTACGTTTAGGAAGTTATTTTATGTCGTTTACTGAAAGATTATTGTGTAGCCATTCCGACTTTTTGTTTTTGGTTTTTTCTATTCACTCCCAAAGCAGATACTCCCTCTCTTTGTGATCCTAGGACTACTTCCATTTCTCATTTTTGAACATATAAAGAATAAGATTAAATGTACTCATACAACCAAAGCAATATTTAATGTAACTATCATACCCTTCTCCAATTTCTATGTTAGCTATTTACTTTGAAAAGTGGGGAAAAAACTTTAGTTTAATGTGGGGTATAAAAAAATTAAACTACCCCCTGACTCAAAAGAATAATCATTTTGAGACAAAAGGAAATGGGGTTAGGGGGACTATCAAAATAGGACGGAGGGACTAATATATTCGGGTTACCTGCCTGGAAATTACATAGTGGCAATTGACGTGCTTTCTTGAATTTGGATTTTGATTGTTGGTGCAGCTTAATATGCTTTTCAAAGATATAAAATATGCTTTTTCCCTTTTTGTCTTCACATTTCGAAGTCGAAGCTTAGCCAACGAAGCATTAGCTAATGAGTCGGCTTTTAATAAATAATTTAAAAAGTATACTGAGTGCTGGCTGCTAATTAAGATTCTTTCAATCTCATATTATTCAGCCTTAAACTATTTTCATCAAATACATAATGGTTTGAAGTGATGAATACTTACACATCACTTTTTGTATTTCCCAGGTTCCTCATTCTTAAGATCCCATTATTCATCTCAACTAGCTGGAAGTGTTTCGGCAAGCAATTACAGGTACTCACCAGATGGTGGTGGCATAGGCGCCTCAAAGTCATGGTTCTCATATCAAGACCTACTTGGGGCAACAAACGGGTTTTCAGAAGATAATCTTCTTGGTGAAGGTGGGTTTGGCTGTGTTTATAAGGGGGTCTTGGGGGATGGGCGGGTAGTTGCTGTTAAGCAGTTGAAAGCTGGTAGTGGACAAGGAGAGCGTGAGTTTCAAGCAGAAGTCGAGATTATTAGCCGAATACACCACAGGTATTTGGTGTCTCTTGTGGGTTACTGTATATCTGAAAATCAGAGGTTGCTCGTTTATGATTATGTGCCGAATAACACCCTGCATCACCATCTTCATGGTAAGTCTATTTTAAGTTTCTGGGTCGTTGATTTTCTTAACTAAATTGGTTAATGCTTATTCTGAGCTATATAACATTGGCAGCTGAAGGCAAGACTGTGATGGATTGGGCTAGTCGAGTTAAGGTTGCAGCTGGTGCAGCACGTGGACTTGCATATCTTCATGAAGACTGTAAGCTCAAGACCCTAGTTTGATGCTTTAATTTTTCCTTTTAAAGAATTGTGGTATTCTTTTCGTATGTTTTAAGTAGATGATTCTGTCATTTTCATTGCTTGTAGATTTTGGCGGAAACCTAAATTCTGGGTTTTCAGTTGCTCTATTAATGTGGCCATGATGAGTCCTTCTTAAAGAAGTTTTTTATTTTTTATTTTGAAATTAAGGCCTCGAAAACGAAGGACAATGAATTGCAACTTAAGCAAAACAATTTTATATTATGTCTCTTGTAATGTAACTTCCCTCTGACCTTTGTGAAGAATTTGCTTAAAAGCTTTGGTGGTTCTTGACAGGTCAACCCCGAATTATTCACAGAGATATCAAGTCAACAAACATTCTTCTGGATGACAACTTTGAAGCACGGGTATGGCTATTAGTTACGTCCTACTCAATAAAATTTCTTAATTCCTTCTAATTTCCCCTTAGTGTAACACTACTTTCCCAAGTATTTCACATGTCTTGCTTTTTCTATAAAAAAATAATTCTATCTCCATTAAATACCTTTCTTGCCCCTCACGAGCAGGTCGCAGATTTTGGGCTTGCAAAGCTAGCGTTAGAATTGGATTTGCATACACACGTATCAACCCGCGTGATGGGAACCTTTGGGTATGTTTCCTCTATTAGAGAATAGAGCAGGCTTATTTAAAATTAATTTATTGCTTTAAGTTTTGAACCCATCAATTTATTAAATGCAAATTCTTGTGTGAAGCCATATTCTGTATGACATTTTCTAATGAAAGTATGCATAATTATGAAAAGAGTATGCTGAACTAATGGTGAGGTGGCATAACAAAAAAACTACTGTTTATTAAATAGTTTGGAATGACTTCACAGATACTTGGCTCCGGAATATGCATCGACTGGTAAACTGACTGAGAAGTCTGACGTGTTCTCGTTTGGTGTCGTGCTTTTGGAGCTAATTACAGGCCGTAAGCCTGTCGACGCATCTCAGCCAGTTGGCGATGAAAGCCTGGTCGAGTGGGTTAGTCTCATTGAACTTGTTCATTATTTTCAGTATTAATTTTGTACAATAGTTATTTCCTTTTTTTTTCTTTTTATTTTTAATGTTATTTTTCGGTTTCAAAACTATTTTCATCTTTTTTACTAAACAAGTAAAAAAGCTATTATGTTATGGTACCTGTTGATCAGGCTCGACCGTTGCTCACCCAAGCTCTCGACAAAGAAGAATTCGGAGATATAGTCGACCCTAAGCTTGAGAACAACTTTGTCGCGAGTGAAATGTTTCGCATGATCGAAGCTGCCGCGGCTTGCGTGCGCCACTTGGCATCCAAAAGGCCGAAAATGAGTCAGGTAATATTCTACCAAGAAACCAAAGCTAGTTATAGCTTTTAACTGAATTTCGAGCTTATAACTGATACCTTACGGCTTATGGCTGAAAAACTAGTTTATAAGATAAAAGTGTTCAGTAAAATTAGCTTATTAGCTAGCTGAAATAAAAATTTCAACGAGCTTATTTGAAAAGCTACCGAAGGTAGCTTATAAGATAAGCTCGAGCTTTTGAAAACAACTCGTGATAACAAATCAAGCTTATTTGAATACATAAATCTTATAAGCTAATGAAATAAAATATAAGCTAGCTTATATGCTTACCAAACACAGCCTGAACCCTGATTACTATTCATTTCGCCTTATTGCACTATTATAATCCACCACTCGCCTTTTTCTGCTTTCGTCGTTCGTAGGTAGCAAGAGCTTTGGATTCAATGGAAGAACTTGCGGATTTGAACAATGGCGTGAAGCCGGGGCAAAGTGGGATTTTCAGTTCAAGGGAGCAATCTGCACAAATCAGAATGTTTCAGAAGATGGCATTCGGAAGTCAAGATTATAGTTCAGAGTATTTGGATCATTCACAGAGCAGCTGGAGAAGTTGACGAAGAATGTAGGTTCTCGGTATTATTTTATTTTATTGTTATTATTATTTTTAAATAGTCGAGGGATAATTCACATTTTTTTTTTCAAATATCGATAACGATTATTTTGTAATTACTGCTGTTGCATATGATTATTCCTTGTTCGGTTTTGCTCTGTTTTTTACTTGTAAATTTTCTTGTTACGGCTAACCAGTTACAGTTGAATCTCATCTTGATTCGTGTTATTATAATTTTTGGTGTCAAGTATATATTGTGCATTGTAAATTTTTCGAATGGTTTTTCGGTTCTTGGCTCAACACTACAGAATAAATCTTGTTGTAAATTTTTATTTCAACAAATTTCGTGGCGAAAATGAATACGGTAGAAAATTTAATTGTTGAAGTTGATGAAAATTTAATTATTAAAATTAATGATGGCAGAAGTAATAACAAAAAATAAAAATTTATATATTACTCATAAATCGTGAATAATTTAAAAAATTATGTCATCCTATGACTTCAAAGTAAAACCACAATTTCACCTTGTTTTCACATTCAATATTTCACAAACATCCAATTGAATTTGTGATTGGATGTATTTTCACTTCTACTAGTATGGTACCCGTGCGCAGCACGGCGAGGTTATTTCCTCAAACCTTTTTTTAAAAAAAAAACTTTATTTTAAATATTTTTTTATAAATTAATTATTTAATTACAATAGAAAGAGGATAGAAGAATATAAAATATAAACAAAAATCATATATTACTAAACACTTCTCTATACACAACATTATTGGTTTAATTTTCTTTCAAACCTTCTTCTCCACAAATTAAAATTTTCAGACCCTTTCTGTTAGTAACACGGGAGAAAACAACATATAACTGGCCATGTCTAAAAAATAGTTTCTTCAAGAATAAGCCAACATGCGATAATGATTGACCTTGATTGAATCTTGTTTATAGTCATTGCGTAAGAAACCATAATGGAGAAGTGCCTTCTTTGAAATTTGAATGATACTCTAACATCAGAAGGAGTTATTGTCATCCGAGGTATCAAAACTTTATCACATGCAAGATCGCCAGTAAGAATTTTACACTCGAGAACATGATTGGAGAGTTTAGTCACAACCAATCGTGTACCATTGCAGAGTCCCATTGAGTGATCCATATTCCGCAAAACATAACTGGAGTTCCGACCTTCAAATTCAATTCATGGTTCGACGTTCCAGAACACTTGATAGTGTTCAAGAACTCAGGAGTATGGACTTGTGCCACAAAGTCGGTATTGGAGTCGGATTTACATGTACTGTATGAACTTAAATACGTGCGTCCCTCAGTCAAATTTAACGACGACATGTATTCATTAATAGATTCTACGATATCGAGTGTTGGCGCAAGTAACTTGGATCGTCGGTTCCATTCTTGAACATCGGAAATGTGCTTTCAACAATTTTTACAACTGGATCATCAGATGGCTCTAGTAATAGATCATTTGGTATGTCTATCGGAGAACATCCATCATTTTTACCCCTCAATGTTCCATCTCCAATGCTCGCTATCCAATCAGCAAAAGCGGCCAACTCGTCATGTTCATTCGAATCGCCAATGCTCTGAAGACGCATATTTTTTTTAAGCCTAAGCACAGTACATTCTCCCTAAATGCTAGAAGAGTTAATAGCAGCATTAACAATCTTCTGACGACTACCCTTTGGAACTACCAGAAGAATTTGTAGAAAGTCTCCACCAAACACAACAATCTTGCCTCCGAACAGTTTATGATGATTTTTCGGGTCGAGGGCTCCCATTACTGTTTAAAAGATGCTTGAACAGCTTCAAAACAATGTTTATGCATCATTGGGACCTCATCCCATATGATCAATGAAGAGCGAATAATCAACTCAGCAAGGGGCCTAGCCTGATTGATCTCACACGATGAATTTTCATGCACAGAAATAGGAATGCCAAATCGAGAATATTGTGCAGTTCGTCCGCCCGACAATAGGAAAGATGTTATTCCACTTGATGCAACACAAAGTTCAATTCGACCGTGCAATCTTAGCCAAGCAGCTAAAGTCCTCCACAAGTATGTCTTTCCAGTTCCAACATAACCATACACAAAAAACACGCCGCCCCTGCTGGAATGAACATATGTCATTATTTTGGAATAAACACCCTTCTGTTCATCGGTCATATGTGTCAGTAATGCATCATGCTCAATAGCTAGAGCCTTACGGTCATAGTTAAGTTCATCCAAAACCAGACGGTTCACACTTGAATTAATACTACACATATCTGGAAAAGGCATAGTAGAATAGTCCTTTATCCCAAACTCAATCTAACTCAACTCAACATAATATTTATTTTATATTTATTTATATATTTATTAAATATTATCTACGATAATTTTTTTGTTATTGTTTTAGTTGTGATATGATAAAATAAAAGATATGATAAAAATGATAAGTTACGATTAAGAAAAAAGAGTGAAAAGATAGAAATTGCAATTATGTTCCAAAATATATCAAGATTGGTCTATATTTATAGAGAATGAAAAATAAATTTTATTTATTTTTTTCATATAAATTAATATCAATAATTTGAGTTACATTTATCTTATTATAGAAAAATTTTATAGACCAATAACAATGGGACATTTGCTCCATTTCACTCACCTCATTTCTCTCTCCCTCCTTGTGTCTAGGTTGCGATCTAGGGTCACAATTTGACATGAGTCGCGGATTTTGCTATTTTTTTTATTTTTTTTTATTATTTTTTAGTTGGTGACCTAATAAAGATAGTATACTATTTATTTTATTTTTATTTATTTATTTAATAAATACTATCTACAATACATTGTTTGATATTGTTTTATCTACAACCTAACCCAACATAATAATTTTAATTGTGTTCCAAAACATATCAAGAGTGGTCTCTATTTATAGAGTATGAAAAAATACGAATTTTGGTATTTTTTATTTTATTTTTTAAAATAAAATAATATCAATAATTTGAGTTATACTTATCTTATCATATAAAATTTATAGTGGACCAATGAAAATAGGACAAGTGTCCATTCCTAATTTATGAATGTCAGATAATGTGGAATCTCCAAAAAATCTTCATGTAATCTTTTTATTTAGATTTTTTAATTTATTTATTTTTTTCAAAATTTTCAAAATTGGCGCTCGAATTTTAATTTTAGCCAAAAATCTTTCTCATTTTATTCACTTTGGGCGGGAATTGACTTCTTTTTTTTTTGCTGATTTTTTTTCATCTTTTTTCAAATAAATATCATTCCCTCTTTATATATTAATAGATTCGTTCATTTATAAGTACATAATAATGTACACAGAGTTGTACATCTTTATGTACATTTATTATGTACGTACGTGTAGCATTTTTATCATACAATTATTATAAAATAAAAAATACCGTTACAAACTGAATTTTCACCAGTCATTATTAACATACAATTCTAGCATTCATATATTAGCATATTGTAGTAGAAGTACAAAAGCTCAAAGAGAACGATTTAGGAATGAGATAGGGTTTTCACAGTCTCTGATTGAAATTACAAGTTATCCATCTGAACATGGTGAAAGAAAACTATGATCAGAAAACCGAAGAAGAGGTAAAGAATATCAAGGGATAGTGGACTTCAGATTCTTCCACACAACTGATTCAGCGTCAAAATTTTTAGGCGCAGATTTTTCCTCTATCCCTTTTCCAATTTTCCCAAGAGACCGGAAAAATTATTGGCTTTGCCGGAAAACCATGGGCAGCGGTGGAGAGGATCTGCAGAAGGTGAAGCGGGCCGCCGCCGCCGCGCACGATTACGAGAACGACCCACGGTGGGCGGATTACTGGTCAAACGTGCTCATTCCGCCCCACATGGCCTCCCGTAACGATGTCGTCGTCGATCACTTCAAGCACAAGTTCTACCGGCGCTACATCGTATGTTCTCTTCATTTAGTCGGATTTTACTGGACGTGCATTTTTCTGCTAGATGTTGTTTTAGATGTGTTGGTATTTGGCATAGCTTGCCGTTCTTGGTATTGAATTTATGTTGGAAGGGCCGTCTAAATCTTGTGTTGTATTATAGGGTTGGAATATTTATGTTGTTCTCTTGTTCCTTACTAATGAAGGGCCATCTAAATCTTGTGTTGGATCATGGGGTTGGAATATTTATGTTGTTCTCTTGTTCCTTACTAATGTAATAGTCGTCTTCTTGAGCCTAGTCTCAGGATTTTGTTCCCAAGGGTTTCTTGCCTGGCATTGTAGAAATATGCTATTTCTTTGTTAATGCTCTGTCTCGGTCACTAGTTTCAAATCTTGCTTTCTGACAGAGATAAGAACAGAATGAGGATTTAGTATCTAGGATGTGGTTGTTATGGTTTTGCTCAATATGTTACTCTGAGCTTTGTATGGGGTCAGTTATGGATGCATTAATGGTGTGGATCTCTCTCCTTGCTGTTTATGTTTTACGAAATTGTTGCGTTGATATGCAGGATCCTGAACTAATTGTGGAGCCGATAGGTACTAGCAGCACATCTCAGCCAGCTAGAGCATCTACCACACCATCTCAATCTTCATCTTCGTCCACTTACAATAGCAATACGCGCCAGAGGAATTCAGGTCTAAAATCTTAATTAATTAAAAAAAAAAAAAAAATTAGAACGGTTTTTCATTTGGCTTTTGATAATATACGGTTTGCTTTTGTTTTGCTTGCTGTACAATTTCTCTTTGACTAGGGTTTACTTGAGTGCATATTTTAGGGTCCTCAACTAGAACCTCAGGGACATCGACAGCCCCACCACCTAGTCCGACATCATTGCGCTGGGATCAACAGACCATTCAGTTTTCTGTCAATGCCTGGGTATGTTCTACTACCTAAATGCTAATCTTTGATAACTTAGTTTGGGTCATGGCCTCATGGTTGAATTCATGTACATAGTTTTATGGCCATTATTTGAGTTGGGTGTGTCTACGACTTCAATTGAGACCAAAGCACCATTGGATGCTCCCTCTCCCCCTCCCTCTCTCTCTCTCTCTCTCTCTCTCTCTCTCTCTCTCAAACACACATTTGAGTTCCCATGCGCAAACATACGTCAGCATACATTTTCCTAAGCTACCCCATGTGGATGATTTTTTTTAATCATATATGGAGCTTACTTTGAATTAGACGCATTATCATTGTGGTTTGCTTCTATTAGAACTGTTGGGCATGGTCAGTTTTTGGACTGGTATCTGCAATGGTTTTTTGTTATCCTATGATCCTTGTTACGAACCTTAGTGTTTTGATAAATAATCCATTCACTTACGAAGATGCCCATATATAGACTTAGGGCCATTAACATATATGGGCTGGGCCATATATTATAGTTCACAATCTTATCTATTGAATGCTATCAAGATTTAGTCAATTTAAACTGTTTTTGCTGAGGTGTTTACATGGTATAAAATAAAGCATGAAAAGAGTATGCATATGTCTTCAATGTCGGTTACTTATTCGTTGCTGTTGGCTGTTTTTTTCTTTTCCCAGCCTTATTATCATGAAATTGCAGTTGCTACTGCTTAGTGATATTTTTATTTTCCTTTTTCTTCCTTTTTCGTTTTCTTTTTTTCCCTATTTCTCCTCCTTCCCTTTTGCTTTTCATTGGAAAAATGTTTAAACTAACTTTGTTATTTCGGCAGGTCCTTGTTGTTGCAGTTTTTGCAATTTTTCCACTAGTGCCTACAAATCTCTCCAATCGCGCATATCGACTTTCCTTCTTTGGCACTGCATGCTCTTCTCTTTGTTCCTTGTATTCATTGTATGGGGTAATAATGCTCTAGTCAATTTCACAAATTTGGTTGTTGACATTTATTGTTCTGCTTGCTGACATACTGTTTTCACAGAAACCTAGAGCATGGAACCTACCGGCTTTGCAAGTATGGTTCCAGTCTGTGGTAGTTACGAAAGATTTTATCTACTCAATATACTGCCTTTCTTTCCTCACTTCACATCTGTGCCTCAAATGTCAGTATACCCTGAGTACTATTGCTTATTAGTGTTGCATCTTAATACTTATGTTTGTTTAACAGTGCTTTTCTCATCTAATAGTGCACAATTTTCATATTATTTTTTTTGGCAGTTGCTTTAATACCCATACTATGTCGGACCCTGGAGCATGTTGCGAAGTTTCTGAGGCGCAACTTTAGCAGGTCAACCTTGTACAGGTGAGTTAGCTTACATTTAGAGTTTCAAGATCTCTCTCTCTCTCTCTTGCCCCCCTCATTTATGACTTTCTTGGTGGGCTTTCTGCAGAAAGTACTTGGAAGAGGCTTGCGTCTGGGTAGTGTTACATACAACTACTCTTAGCATTCTGTCCTCAAATGCTGAGATTGGAATTGGGTTCCTCCTGATTATTTCTCTCTTCTCGTTTGTCTCTCTACTCATCTCCCTTTCTTGATCATTTATGTTTAAATAAATATTTATGTACTTACTTTCATGCCTGGAATTTCGATATCTATGTAACATGCTAATGTGCTCTATTTTTTTTAACTCGTAATATGCAGGTGGCAACGCAATATTGTACAAACATTTATGTACTGGCAGGTGAATCACACTCTTTATTTGTAACTTGATTCTAACAATTTCTGCATTCATGGTTACTATTTGTGGCTACGAGGATTGTAACTAATCATTTTAAAGTGAAAATATTGCTCGGTGCCACTGTGTTGTCCTGCGTAATTTCTTAATTATCTTTTTACTTTTTGGTAGTTATATATTTTCACTTAAAGTCAAACTGTTTTGGTAGTTATATATTTATTTCTTAACTAATCATTTATTCTTTTGTTTCGATGTAGATTTTGAAGCTCATGTACCATGCCCCTGCAACTGCTGGATACCACCAAAGTACTTGGGCTAAAATTGGGCGGACCGTGAACCCGTTAATCATGCGCTATGCACCATTCTTAAAAACCCCAATTTCTGCTTTGCAGAGGGGGTTTTTGAGGTGAAAAGCTGACGAGGAAGGACAAATTTACCAGCATCTTATTCCCAGGCGCGTCAAATTAATTCTGAAACTTTAACAACTACCACAAACTAGATGTTACAAAGCAATTGTTTGGTTCATCACTTTTGGGTACTAATCAATAGAAGTGTAGGTGTTCGAGTTCGAAGAATCTCTTGTTCTTCGACTTTTCAGTCAAACTCAAAAGAGATATATTTTGATCTTTCATGTTTGAGGGTTTTTTTAAAGTTCATAGAAGGAAAAAAAAGGTCTTCTGTTTATGTGTTAACAACATATGGATGGCCAAAATTCTGTTATATTTTCATATGGATACTGATGAAAACCAGTGTTAGCTTTTTATTTGTTGATAATAATCATAGGTTGATCTATTTTTTTTTCTTTTATTATAAAGTTGGTTGCAATAATTTTAATTTTCCTGATTGTGGACTTGTTGTGGTCCGGATTTGGAATCAGAATAATTTTATTTTTAAATAAATATTTATATTTTTATGCTATAATATCATCATATGTTATAAATATTGTGGGGGATGCAATTAATCACACTACTAAAACCTTGTCCAGAAAAGAAAAATAAAAAATAAAAAAAATAAAAAATAAAAAATAAATTGGACATAATTCGTTAGTTGAAAAATGTAAAAATACAAATAAAAATAACGTTTCCCTTTTAATTTCTTAAACCATTTTAAATTAACCTTTTCATACAATTTGGAAGATAACTGCCAGCAACCACCCTCTTAAAATGTATGAAACCGTCACCTGCTTGTATGATTTTATATTATTTTGTCCACAGAGAAACTAATTTTGTTTAAAAAAAATAAAAATTAAAACTCGAGCAAAGATGTTTAAACTTGTTGAACTTATTATGTTCACGCTGATTTTAGTAGTAACTCATGTTTTCTCCAACTCATTTTCAGGTATGTTCTTATGTACGCTCCAACTTTCTGAATTACTATTCAGTTATATTCTTAATCGCATTATATTTGATAAGTTCTTTTCATATGAATGTAAATGTATGTTCATAAATTTGTAGTTTCTCTAACTAATTATCAATCTCTTGAGCTCTTTAGGTTCATCTGTTGATCCTTCCCGAAAAACCGGCACTTGCAGACTTTTCAAGAACTTCATTGGAGACGACGAGCGGGTTTATGTTTGTTCGGGCAACGACTTCTTCTCCTTCGAAAGTAACGGTACTATCGCATGGAAAGTACACTTGAACTACACATGCAATCCAAACATAGCTCCAGTTCATGGAGGCTCGAGCAAGGTAAAGCATGTATTTTAATCGTATTTTTTGATCAAATATTTTGTTTTAGGAGATTAATGAATATCAGTTTTCGGCAGATATACGTAGTTGCAGAGGAAAGGGTACTAAAAATCTATCCTCTGAGGATTGGAACTTCCGAAGCTCCTGTCGAAGTTTTTTTCGGTCCCGCGCAAGGCAAAGAAGGTCCCGACGAAATAACGGGACTTTCTGCAAGCATATCAAGCTCATGTGTGCTCGTTAATGTTAAAAATCGAGGGCTTTTCGCGTTAAGGTTGACCGGTCAACTTATATGGAGTGCTGGCCCAGTGCTTTATCGACACGGTTATCGACAAGGTTGCAGAAAAAACATCACAGAGTGTTATTTTACTTCGAAACCCGTGATCGATCAATGTGAAGCTAGTATATTCGTAAGCTTCTATATAGTTAACTCATCTGTTTTTTTTGCTTTTCTTAGATTATATTTTTACCGAGCAAATACTCACTTTACCTTCATTTTTTGGTAGATTTTGAATACTGTGGGGGAACTATATTCGTTATCTGTTCGTGGGCCTTACTTTAAATGGATTCAAGATTTAAGTTCGTATGGGGGCACGTTTAAAGTTACTACAGGAAATAACGGTCGATTATATGTAACTATACAAGATAAATCTCCTCTCGTCTTAGCGTTAGACGTTTTTACGGGGAATTTACTGTGGCGAGGAAGTATCGGGCCCTTAAGCTCATCAGATTACGAGCCACTTGTTGATGCTAGTGGTAATGATAAATTTATTTATATATGTTTTTTTTTTTCGTTTACTTATTTTTGTTCGTTCGACTGATGAAGCAGGTTGGGTTTCGTATGGCTCGTTAGATGGATTTCTTTATTCGTTTTCGCCTAAAGGACTTCTCAAAAAGTTCCCGAAATCAGTAAGTTTGAACTCGGTTATTCAAGTTGAACCGATACTCGATTGCTCTGGGTATGGAGTGTACTTTTCTCAAACAGAAATGGAAGGGAAAATGTCACACGAGTATGATTATGTATCGGCATTGAAACCGAAAAATTCCAAATTTACTCTTCTCGATCCAGCTTCTGGCTCGATTTACCGGTCGGAAAATAATCCTGGTAATTCTAATTTGATTAACTCTATAGTGCACGATTTTGAATTTTTTCGCTCTTTCAAGAATAGCACGATTTGCATTTTTTTTTTTCTCTCTATAATTGCCCTTTTTTTTTCGGTGCAATCTATAATTGCCCTTTTACTCTATTGTTTTCATCTTATTCAGAACATAATGCCTTGGTAATTAACAGTTAACAAAATTCATGTTCTTAAATAAAGCAGGTAAACTCTTATTCAACTTGTCACAGAGTGATCTTAAACATTTTGCAGTCGATGAACGAACTCTTTTGGCTTTCTTTGCTGCTTCAAGTAAGTTGCAAAATACTCGTATTTTTTTTTTTTAGTAGCCGCTGCAAATTTTAATCATTAGACCGATATTTTCCATAATGCAGGAATTGGAAATCAATTCCCATGTCGTTCAACGCGTAATGCTCTCAACCGATCTTTCGACTTAATTAGATGAGTTAAACTGAGTCCATTTGTAAAAGTTTTTGCTTTGTTGCAGGCGTTAAACTTAAATCTAGCTGCTCGCAGGTGAAGACTGAGAGCATCAGTATCTACACAGGTAATCAGAGGACCATTGTTATGTTCCTCGTAATCGAGTCCGTAGTTTTGGTAATTTTAGCAGCTGTTGTGTGGTATTGCTGCATCTTCTGGAAGAAGAAAAAGCTTCGAGGCCTCGAGCTCGGAAAGTTTCTTGAAAAGCGGGTAACATTTGAGATAGTTTTAGTAATAGTAATTAACCACATTTTATTTTCTTTTATTTTGATTGTTTGCTTATAATTTCATCAGCGGTCTCTAAGATTTCAAAAGAAGGCGTTCGACAAAATGATAAAGGAGCTCGAGCAGAAAGCAGCAGCTTCGGATGAAAGAGTATCTAACTTAGAGTTGTTCGAAAAGTTAAGCGATTTGGTTAAGGAAAGAGAAGGCGTAAGAAAAAAGCTCTCGACCACATACAGTTTAGGACGTGACAAGGAAAGATCACGTTCGAGTTCTCTACTTCCATTATGCGACAAAAAGTCTAGAAGCTTCTCGTTCCAAGGTTCCAAGAAAGAGAGTGTCACGATATTTCACAACGAAAGCACGAGTTGTGAAGACGTTGAGAGTAGCGATTTTTCGGGAGATGGTGAATTTGACGAGCGTGTCGAGGGGAAGGGGAAAGGGTTAGTTGAAGAGGAAAGTTCAAGTGAAGGATTTGTGAGCTTGCAGCATTCATTTAGTGAGATAGAGGAGATGAATAAATTGGACTATAAAGATGAAGATGAAGATGATGATGATGATGTTATGGTGAATATGAAGATTGGGAGTAGGAGTTTGAGGAGAAGGGCAGTTTCTTTTACTAATTAGCTACATTTTTGTCAAAAAATTGTATGGAGATGTTAGAAAGATTTTAAAAAAAAAAAAAAAAAAAAATTGAAGTTATGGGATTTGAGGAAAAAATTGATGTGATGTTATTTTTTTCTTGGTTAGAGCTATAAACGAGTCGAGCGAGCTCGAGCTCAGTGTGCTCGAGTTCAAACTAATGAGCCTTATCAAGTTGGGTCAAGCCTGACTCATTGACGAAACAAGCTTAAGTGAGTTCTAGTTCGACTCGTTTATCAAACGAGACGAGTCAAAATCAAGCTGAGCGAAGTCGAGCTCGCGAGAGCTCGTTACGTATAATAGCAAACTAACGAGCCTAATCGAATTGGGCCGAGCCTTAATTAACGAAATCAGCTTTGAGTGAGCTCGGATTTTACTCGTTTATTAAACGAGACGAGCTGGACTCGAGCCTTAATTAACGAGCCGGACGAAATCGAGCTCGCGAACTGCTCGTTTCGTTTAATAGCTCTATTAATCTGCCACTATCTGATGCTTTCTTTTCCCTTTTACTGATTATTACATGTTTGTATGAGTTTTATAGATTTTGAATTTTTGCTGAAGTCTTCAACTTATGAAGAAAAATATTCTTTTCAGTCATATTATAATGTTCCTCCTCATACTTTTTGAAATATGCTATAATTGCATTAGCCCATTATAAGGTTTATTGATTTTTGGAAAAACTATTTGAATGCAAAGAATAAAAGAGAATGAGTTAATTAAGAGTCGGATAAATTTTTTGGTAAAATAAGAAAATATTATTCGATAAAATGTAATGATTAAAACTGATCTGATTGAAAAGTTGTGAAATAATGAATCTAAATTGTTGATGGTTAATGAATATAAATATATGAATAATGAATTTTGTTTAAATATGTGTAGTGGTTTTTATTATTATTTGACAAAATTTAAGAGAAAATAAATTAAATAGAGTAATTTTATGGTATCAATTGAATTTTTGTTTTTTTTTTTTTTTTAAATAATACACATGAAGTAAAAACTATTTTGATCAATTATAGTTCGGGCAAAAATATTATTCAATTTATTACAATCACTTAACTAATTAATAAATAATCGCAAAAAAAAAAAAACTAATCAATAAATAATATACCGGAAAAAGCTGCGGCGTCGTATCCTCTTCCCGAGAGAGACGCACGCGCGCACTTATCACACAGCTCAGCCAACGGATTTAATGTCTGCGGTGGGTGGCTTGCCGGCTTCACTTTGCCGATCGTACTTGAAGTTTTTAGATTCTCTTCGTCGTCGGCGGCGTTCAGTTAGTCCTGATTTTCAGGTAAATTAAAAACCCTTATTCTGTGTTCTCTTCCCCACCAATATTTATTAGGGATTGTCACCCGAAGTCTGTTCTTGAATCTATTATAATGGGTCTGATTTGTTTTGGGAACTTGCGACCGCTAGGATTTTTGGACATTTTTATGGGATTGGGCTGTTGAATTGGCTTGTGAGATCTCTAATGGAAGTTCTTGTTTGATGATTATTACTCTCATTTGTATCTGTAGAGTGCGGTTGTACAATGGTTATGAATGGTAGTATGAGCTGTATATGGTGACTGTCCTTGAGAGTCTGTGCATGAAGTTCTTTTCTGCATTACAAAGTTGCACCGAATGATTGGTTGTTTGAATAACAGTCACCGTAACTTGTGATTTACATTCTGTGTATCGCAGTTTTAAGCTCAATAGGAACTCGTACTCCATTCAATGGAGACACAGGAGTTAATCAAACTTCCAGCTTCCAGTAACTCCGGGCATGCAAGTGAGCATGAGGGTCCAAATGAGTTTGGTCGTGTAGCCATTACATCGGGTTCTCGAAATTTGAACTCTGAGATAAAAGCTGAGATTAATGGGGAAGCTGGAATGTTGTCGAAAGATGATGACGTGGACATGTCAATTTCAAGTGGTGAGGAGAATTTGGATCTTAACAGCTCTGTGCTGAAAGATGATCTTGAAACAGCAGATTCGGTCGAAGTGGCTGTGGAAATGACATCTGTCACCCATGTGAATTCTGAAAATGGATCTCTACCTGTCCAGCCAGAAATCAGTTCCAGTACTCCTATGAAAGATGAAACCCTTTTGTGTAAAGAGGAGAAAGATTCCAACTGTATCCTTTTTGGTTCAAGCTTTGATTGTTTGCTTGGATAGCTTGTAGTTTAAAGTTTAGAGTAATGGCTGTGTGATATGCCTGTAGTTTGGAGTTCATGGTCGGATTATGTTAAATCGTTTACTTTATTTTGTCCCCTTAATTTATTCACTTATTTATCAGCTTCTTATCTACATGCTTCCCATAACTTGATCTTCTAGCTAAACGTGGTGTCAAGAGACCTCGTGAATCTGTTGATGAGCAGCATTCTTCAGTGCGTGTAATCTATAGTTCTTTGCCAAGGTGTGCTACTGCTATCTACTTATTGCTTCTTTACATATTTATTGATACATTAAAAACTTTCACGTCATTCTCAGAGAAAGCAAACAAAAACTTGAAGAGCTATTGCAGCAGTGGTCAAAATGGCATTCACAAAAGTGTTCATCTTCAGATGTAAGATTGCTTATTTCTATATCTTTTAATATTGGTCTGATTTTATTTTTGAGTATTTGACCTCCTATTTTATATTCTTATTGTTGCTCGCTATAATTTAACCGATGTCTGCTTATGTCCAACTCAGAAATCTATGCTGGAATCGGGAGAAAAGACCTACTTTCCAGCTCTTCGCGTTGGCTTGGACAATCCGTCTGCAATAGTATGATTTCCTTCATGCTCTTCTTTTGTAAAGTCTTAACCGGTGATGCTCTGCTAAAGATATATTCTTGGTGTATGAGTACATATCTTTGTTCTTTCTTCTCTCTCGTTTTTTTGTGGGTATTTAAGCTACCTCAGTTAAACACAGTAGGGACTTCTCGACTCTTGTTGTCCTGGAAAAAAAAACCATGTACTTTCATATATCTCTTGTACATAAGCAATTTGGGAAAATTGACTCGACTTCTGTTGTATTGATTCAACAACAACAACAACAACAACAAAGCCTTTTAGTCCCAAACAAGGGGTAGGCTAGAGATGAAACCCAATAGAAACAGTAGTAAAAAAAAAAAAAAAAAAAAAAAAAAAAAAAAAAAAAAAAAAAAATTGGAGCAGAAGAGAAAGGAGCAAAAGTCACTGTTCCGGCACGTTGATCGCTAGTCTCCAAGCGCTCCTATCCACCGCTAAATCCTTGGGGATATTCTAATCTTTAAGGTCTCGCTGAACCGACTCTTCCCAAGTGAGTTTAGGCCGACCTCTACCTCTCTTAACAACATCGACACGCTGTAGAACTCTCCTGCGCACCGGTGCATCAGGAGGCCTCCGTTGGACATGTCCGAACCACCTCAGCCGATGTTGAACCAATTTCTCCTCAATTGGGGCCACCCCGACCCTATCACGAATATCCTCATTTCGGATTCTATCTCTTCTTGTGTGCCCGCAAAACTAACGCAACATCCGCATCTCTGCTACACTTAGTTGTTGGACATGTTGCCTTTTTGTAGGCCAATATTCAGCACCGTATAGCATCGCCGGACGAATCGCCGTCCTATAGAACTTACCTTTTAGCTTTTGTGGCACCCTCTTATCACAGAGAACGCCCGAAGCTTGACGCCATTTCAACCAACCGGCTGCAATTCTATGCCTAACATCTTCATCAATGTCGCCATCCTTTTGAAGCATCGATCCTAAATACCGGAAAGTCTCCTTCTTGGCCACCACTTGCCCGTCAAGGCTAACATCACCATCATCATGAGTAGCCATGCTGAAAGCGCACGTCATGTACTCGGTCTTCGTCCTACTAACCCTTTCGACTCTAACGTGTCCTTCCACAGCTCTAACTTCCTATTTACCCCGGCCCTACTCTCGTTAACTAGCACCACATCATCAGCAAAGAGCATACACCAAGGGAGATCACCTTGTATGTCCCTTGTGACCTCATCCATCACCAAGGCAAATAAATAAGGGCTCAATGCTGACCCCTGGTGTAGTCCTATTTTAATTGGGAAGTCGCTAGTATCGCCCCCACATGTTCGAACACACGTCATCGCATCCTTGTACATATCCTTGATGAGGGTAATGTATTTAGATGGGACTTTGTGCTTTTCTAAGGCCCACCACATGACATTCCTCGGTATTCTGTCATAAGCCTTCTCAAGGTCGAGAAAGACCATGTGCAAGTCCTTCTTTTTGTCCCTATATCTCTCCATCAATTGTCGTATTAGGAAAATCGCCTCCATGGTCGACCTTCCAGGCATAAACCCAAATTGGTTTTGGGTCACACTCGTCACTCGTCGTAGGCGATGCTCGATAACCCTCTCCCAGAGCTTCATCGTATGGCTCATCAACTTAATCCCACGGTAGTTACCACAGCTTTGAACATCACCCTTGTTCTTGAAGATCGGTACTAAAGTACTTCTCCTCCAGTCATCAGGCATCTTGTTTGACCGAAAGATGAGGTTAAAAAGCTTAGTTAACCATACTAACGCTCTGGCGCCCAAACATCGCCACACCTCAATAGGAATACCATCAGGGCCCATTGCTTATCTGTTGTATTGATTATCAAGATATTTTTATTTTTATTATTTTCTGTGTAATGAACCTTTACCATTTGCATTGTTTGTAGACCTTTTGGGTGGACAATCAAAAGAAGTTGAAGTCAGGCAAGGATTCTGAACCATTGGATAGCACTTCAGTCCCTCTATATGATCGTGGATATTCTTTAGCTTTGACTTCTGGTGATGCTTCCAGTAGATTAGATAGGTATGCCTGTTTTTAGTACCTTGCATAATCTTAATCTTGCTGAATCTTGAGATTTGGGAATGAAGCCAACTGCAAAGACATAATACCGCTCACTATTTCTGCAGTGGTGTGAAGTTGGATACTTCACGTTGTTTCAACTGCGGTTCTTACGGCCATGCTCTGAAAGATTGCCCAAAACCTCGTGATACTGTTGCTGTTAATAATGCTCGGAGAGAGCACAGGTCCAGACGAAATCAAAATTCCAATTCTCGTAATTTCACCCGGACGAGATATTATCAAAGTTCTCGTGGGGGGAAGTATGATGGTTTAATGCCAGGTGTGCTTGATGCCGAAACACGCCGGATGTTGGGGCTTAGGGTGAGATGATTTTTTTTCTTAAACGAATAATGATATGACTAATACAAGCCTTTTTTTAGCATAATATTATGTGGGTTTTTTTAGTGAGTTTCAAGTGGTAGAAATATCTTGCTACTATACCTATGAGTTTATTAAGTGTTAAATCTGTGTGCGAGTTTTTCTTCGTCATTTATCCTTATCAAATGTTTCATGTTGTTTCTAGGAGCTCGATCCACCTCCTTGGCTTAATCGAATGCGAGAACTAGGATATCCACCTGGCTATTTAGGTAAGAATTGTATTTTCTATAGTGGTGAGAAGTTTTTGAGACGTTAAAAGAAAAATGTGTAATGTATTTATTTTTAATTTTGAAAAACAACTTGGTTTTTTTTCCTTTGCTGACAGACGTTGACCTGGAGGATCAGCCTTCGGGGATTAAAATTTTTGGAGAAGAGACAAACGAGAATGAAGACGAAAAACTTGGTGTGGGCCCCATCGAGCCCTCCAAGAAGAAGGCAGTCGAGTTCCCTGGAATAAATGCTCCAATTCCCGAGAATGCAGACAAGTGGCTCTGGGCACAAAACCCTATGAACTCCTCGAATATTTCCGAACACCGTTCACAACGCAGGCATAATAACCCCTCACCGTACGAAAATCTCAACAGAAATGAGCGGAGGTGGTCAAAGGACTACTTGGATGACGATGGCCCCCCGGGCTGCGCTCCCTGGACGAGCCCGTCTCTTTCGAATCACTTACCTAGGTACAGTGATTACGAGTATGGGCTCAGCCCGCCTCTTTCGAATCACTTCCCTAGATATGGTGATTACGAGTATGGTGGGCTCAGCCCGCGTGCTAGCCCGCCTCTTTTGGATCACTTCCCTAGATACAGTGATTACGAGTGTGGGCTCAGCTCACGAGCTAGCCCGCCTCTTTTGGATCACTTCCCTAGATACAGTGATTATAAGTGTGGGCTCAGCCCGAATGTGCCGTGGAGCCCAAGCTATGGCAGGTCGTGGTCGGACAGGGGTATGAGTTCCCCGCTGATGCATGATGGTCCCCCGAGCCATGGGCAATATGGTAATTTCATTCATAACTCTCCCTGGTAAAGGTTTTTTATTTATTTATTTATTTTTTTTTTTTGGGTTTCTGGGTATTGGTGACTGGTTCTCGAGTTCTGGGTTGTAAGATGAGGATATTTTGTTTGTTGCCTTATAAAAGAAGCACGAAGGGCCAAAAGCTGATGGAATCGATCATTTTAGTTTTGTTTTGGGTCTTATGAATGAAAACGACTTGCGGAAATGGGTTTTGGGTTCGTGCGATTCTGGTTGATTGTGTAGCCTCTTTTAAGACTGTTCTAAATGGGAAAAAATATGGAATTGCATTGACATCCATTGTCTGATGAAATGAAAATTTTCGTTTATATTATGGTATATGTAGGAATAATTTCATCAAGTCATGGAAGACGTATGTGGTAGGATGAGCTATTGACAATTTTAGTTCTTCCCCTACTTTGTGTGTAGAAAATGCTGTTTAGAAAGTAGTATAGAATTAAATAGATATTGTTTTTACTTACCAAATTTTGAATTTCTATTTTATTTTATTTTATTTTATTTTATTTTTTGGATGAAAACAAGTTCTTGCATCCAAGAGCAGAATATCTGCAGCTATAATAAAATAGTATACAAAATAACCTTAAATTCGTGAACAGTACAAAATTGTTGTCAAGTGTCAACACACAGTACTCCAGGTTTATAGCAGACACTAGCCTACAATTTGACAACCAGTGTACGGATATCCCAACACATGATGCTTGGTACATCCAAGGTTGTTGACCATGGCTAAACGTTGACTCCCATAATCCCATTGTACAGATTTGTGTGGAGAAGAAAATTAAGGTGTCAACTAAACAATTAATATCTTTATTAGATTGATTTATCAACGCAGAATTTAAATAATAATTTTTTTGTAAGCTTATAATTTAAATTATTATTTTTTTATTAGATTATTTATAAAGAGTGATGGATGTTATCGTAAATCATTATAATGTTATGTACCCATGTTTTAAATACCGGTTCGTACCGGCCGGTATTACCGGTAATACCGGATACCGGTGGTCCGACCGGTACGTTTACACTCAAAATACCGTTTTAGCCAAAATACCGGTTTCGTACCGGAAAATACCGGTTTTACCGGCAAATACCGGCCAAAATACCGGTCAAAATACCGGTTTATGCCATTTTTTTTAAAAAAAAAATATTTTTAATAAATTTTTATTATTTTATTTATATAAATTGTAATTTCTACACTTAACTTTAATATGTTTATATTGTTATTAGATGTTAATTTATTTTAGTATTAATTAAAGTTAGTTTTTTATATTATTTATATAATAATAACAAATTAACTTAATATTTATTAAAACCGGTAAAATAGACGGTAATACCGGTCGTACCGGTAATACCGCATACCGGTCGCTACACCGGTATGACGACCGGTACGGTTTTTAAAACATTGTTATGTACCATTGCCTTGAATTTATTAGAAGCAAACCCAAGAGCTTCATACGATAAATTGTGACTAAAGGATGTATAACTATATTTGGTAAGCACTATAAGTTAACGTAATTACTTATTTGGTTAGTTTATCAGTTTTTGTATTCAAATAAATTTGGTTTGGTAGAATGAACTCTTTTAAAAAGCTCGATCTTAAATCATAAACTTTTTTGGGTAACTTTTTAAATAAGTCCGTTGAAATTTTTATTTCAGCTGACTTATCAGTTAATTTTATCAAACACTTCTATCATATCAGTTGACTTTTTTTCAGTTATAAGGCATAAGCTATCAGCTACAAGCTCGAAATTCATTTATAGGCTATAGCTATGTTCGGTAAATTTAGCTAATAAGCTATTCTATAAGTGATTTTTGAGCTTATAGTTTATGACTTATAGCTGAAAAACTAGATTATATGATAAAAGATTCTGTAAAATTGGCCAATAAGGTACCTAAAATAAAATTTTTAACGAGCTTATTTAAAAAGCAACCAAAATAAGTTTATGAGATAAGCTCGAGCATTCTGAAAAGCTCATCCTACCAAAAGAAGTTTATTTGAATACATGAAATTTCAAAGCTAATCAAATAAACTATAAGCTAGCTTATTTGATTACCAAACATAGTTTATGTGTGGTAAAACTAATTGATAAGCTAGTTAATAGCTTATAAGAGTATGTTTGGTAAGCAATACAAGCTAGATTATAGTTTATAATTTTTTATTTTTTATTTTTTTAAGGTTGGTTTGGTAGGACGAGCTATTTTAAAAAGCTCAAATTCATCTAATAAACTTCTTTGGGTAGCTTTTTTAAATAAGTCCGTTGAAAAATTTATATCAATTGGTTTATCAACTAATTTTACTAAACGCATTTATCATATAACTATTTTACTAAAAATAAATTATTTCTAATCCTATGTTGATGATGGTTAAGGTACCTCTTCACTATTTTCTTTCCTTTTAAATACCCAAAAGCTTCTTTCTTACCTTTGTCGTCGCGAAGTAAATTAGGTTTGACTGCTGTGAATTTCCGAGTCCACATTGGGAGCCACAAACAATTAATTTTTTAAAACCCTAATCATGGTACGGTCTTCGGCCCTTCGTTCTTCTGATTATCGTTTTTTTTTTTCTTTTATTTTTTTTTTATAAATCATAGCTTTGTTGTGAAATCTTGTGATGATGGAAGATATGTTTCTGCATACGCACGAATATCTGTATGTATATGCCGTTTGATCGCTCGCACGTTGTTTTAACCCTGATTTTGTTTTACATGTTTGGATTAAGGAAGAATGGTTACTTGTCGATCGGAACAAATTTGGATTGCGTTTAATGGCTGATCGGGGTTTTAATTGAGATATTTAATGAATTTGGGGAACTGTGTTTTTAATGTTTTTGTCAATTTGGTTGGTCGGGCTTTTGAGTGATCCTCAGGCCCGGTGACCCTCTTTTCTTGTCGTGATTAGGGTTTGTAATCTTGCTTATTAGAATAACCCTAGAATAAATTATTGTTTTATCATGGAGGAATTTTTTGGTTTGTCTTCATCTTGTAGTTATATAGTTCTGCTTATAACTTGTTAAAAAAATATCAACTTGCTTTACTTTTGTTGAAATCCTTTAATTTATTCGTTTTATTATATCATCTGAAAGGTCAAAGGCCTGGAACAGTTGGTGAGAGCATCTAGAAGACCTTATAGTTATGGCTTATGTTATTCATTTTACTCCCCAAATAATCTTTTATGAGTAAAAAAAAAAAAAATGTTTTCTGTAATTTATTCTATTTTCCTCGAGCTGAAGCCCGTAATGAATTTTCTCATCAGTATTCAGTTCGGTTTCCGTTTGTCGTTTCTTTTAAATAGATTATGGGTATGGACCTATGAAGTGTAAATATTAATGGTTAATTATAGAATGAACATGTTATCAGATGATTCTTATGTAACTTGCATTTGTTCAAAGCTCAAAGGTTAAGTAGCTTGAAATGTGATGCTTATGTCCTATCCACTTTTTTCTTTCTTCCTTTTCTTTTTTTTTTTTTTTTTTTTTTTTTTTTTTTTTTTTTTTTTTTTTTTTTTTTTTTTTTTTTTTGTACATGTCAGTTTTCTTACATCTTCTAGTGTCCTATCCTTTTGCAGTGCCAAAAGGCTCAAGTGTAGGATTGCAGATAGGTAACAGTAGACTGTTGCTGTCATGGATAACCGGCTGTTTGGAGAATCTGCATATAAGGTTCACACAGAATCTCAAGTGGCATGAAATATCTTGCCTTTCTGCATGATATTCTTTTATCATCATTATGATATTTTGCATTCTTTTCAGTAAGCTGGATAGTCTACATATTAGCTTGGTGTATGCAAATAGCACGTTATCTGATTTTAAAAGGCTTATCATCATATACTTGACTCTCATTGTATTGATCTTCTTAGGTCCAGGAGCACTTCAATCCTGATTCCTCTCGCCCTTATAATTCATCCTATATTCGGCGAGGTCTATTTACCTTTCAACTCTGACTTTTCTGAATTCTTTTCAACAGTTTTTTAAATTTTCACAAGTTTCTCATTGCGGTCATGTTCAATGCAGAATGTTCATTTAATTATAACGGTGGTTCTTCGTTGTTAGTTGCCTCTGATGGCAAGACCATGCCTTCCCTGGTGGATCTTGAGCAACTTCCCCAGCAAATGTCATCTGAGTGTCATCTGGTGGGACCTTATGTTGTTGGACCAACTGTCTCTGGAAATTTCTCTAGGCCTACCGCAACTTCAGGTAATAACTATTCTTTGTTAAGTAGTTGGAAGTTGGTTCGACTTGCTGGCTGTGTTAGGTACTGATAGGCTAGATATTTTCTATGTTACCACACATAAATAGACAGTCATCAATTATACTACTCTCCAGTTATAACTCATAAGTCTTGGAAAATATTCTTTTAGGTTTTCTTGTTTTGGTTTTCCTCGTTATGTTACCTGGTTACTGATGTACATTGCATTATTCTTTAAACAGTGGGTTTCAATGTTATATAATCAGCTAAGTTAGATATAGGCTTGAGATGGATCCATTTTCTTCCTTTATCTATTTCAAGCAAAACATTTTTTTTTTTTTTTTCTTTGCAGATAGTGATTGAAATTAATAGAATCCTTTCTATCTTACACGTAGTGACTTGACATATATTATCACGAACTCAGAGAAAATTCGGATTCCTTTTTACCGTTTTGAATTTTTCATCTTTCTTGGTTGAGCTAATTATCAAGTACTCTTATTTTGAAAATTGAAGCTGATGGTTCTTTTCCAAACACATGTTAACATGACAAAGCAGAATGATTTTATTCCTTCTTTCTCTTTGGTTGACTTATTATCCCACAACAATGTATTGGACAGGTTACTTAGATTTGATTAGACATGGAGTGCATGCACATAACACTGGTGCTGCAACATCGCTTGGGAATAATATTGTGGAACCAGTTAATTCTTTATCTAATATGGGTTTTGGTAAGCCCATATTGGACCAAGAACTTGTATCCCGATGTCGGCTCCAGGCACTTCGATCAAAACCGTCCAGTTATAAGCCTTCTCCTCCTGCAAGGTTTGGGCTTTCCGTGGCCCAAATGAATGGGTTCAGTGTCGGCCCGAAGAATGCTCATAACCCAGTACTGGGACAGAGGTCCTCAAAACCCTCCCAGTTACCAATTATGGGCCACAATAATTCTCAGCAACAAGGATTCTGCAATTTTCAAGCTCCCGAACAAGCAAATATGATCCGGAACTTGCAGAAAATTCTATTGTCATATGTCAAGTGCAGGCTAGTGGATGCCAATATGAGCAGTCAGGATTTCTTGAATCACCTGCATCCGATAAAGTGCAAAGGAGAAAAGTGTAAATGCGAAAATTACTATGTTCTGATATCCCACTTCGATAAATGCCAAAACACCCACTGTGGTGTATGTGGGCCTGTCCGTCGGTTGTGTGCTGTCGAGAGAATCCCAACAGGTTCGGGATTTCGAAAGGAACTTCTTTTGGGAGGCGTGCGTTCTAGAAATTGCGTTGTTCAGGAAATTCAACCTTCTGCTAAACGTATGAAGATGGAGGATGATGTTCAACATGACGACTGGTCTCTTAGTGCTGTTGTCCGTCAGCAGTTAAAGAATTTTGTTGGAGATTTAGTGGTTGTTGAGGAAGACAGAGCAGAGATGAGCAAGGGGTCGTCATTTGAAGGCCATATTAATGCAGCCACATTGAACGAAGAAATTCCTAGTTCTATAATTGAGGTTAGGGAAAGTGTAATGAGTGGTGATTGTTCATTTGATGATAAAATGAAGGGAAATGGAGACACTGTTTCTCATGTTGAAGAGATCTGTTGGCTTGATAAACCGCAGGAGATGGGATGTTTCGGCACTGCCGAGGTAAAAAATGATGGCCAAAGTCTTAGTTCTGGTGGTGCTTCAGATCTCTCTGAGGAGTTGCCAATGGATGAGGTTAAGCACGATAAAGGAGAGGCTGAATGTGGTTTAACTAAATCTGATTGTCAATTGCGAGGAAAATCGGAGGATTTGAAAGTTTCAGGTGTTTCTTTGATTGACTTCTTCTTGCCAGAACAAATCAAAGAACATTTGCTTAGTCTGAACCAATTTACTGATCTGGTATGTCTAACAACTTATCTTACTTTCTCAGTCAACAGTTTTCGTTGGCTTGCAGCATTTTTTTTTTTTTTTTGGGAAAACCTGATTTGTGGTTTTGTTCTGATGAGCTATTATTTTCTCTTTCTTTCTCTCCTCATAAAAATAATCTCAGAAGGGAAGAAATGTAGAAACAAGTGAGCGCACTGTTGATGAGAATACATGTCAATTATGTGACATGGGTGTGCGCTTGTTTGCACCTCCACCAATGTACTGTACATGTTGTGGAGCTCGAATCAAACACGGGTCATGTTATTACAGGCCGTTGGATGATGAAGCAAACATAAAATACTCTTTTTGTACCTTATGTGTGAAGCACTCTCGTGGTGGTAACGTCTCTTTCAGGGGGCTCACTTTTCCCAAAGCGAAACTGTTGAAGTGCAAGAATACCGATGAACTTCCAGAAGGAGTAAGATTTTATTTATCTTCTTGGTAGCTTTTCCCCCTTTTGAGTCCATTTACATTATTTACTGTGATAAACTGTGTTTTCTACTTGCAGTGGGTGCAGTGTGACAAATGTGAAGCCTGGCAACATCAGATTTGCGCACTTTATAATTCTAAGCAAGATTTGGAAGGGAAATCATATTACATTTGTCCGTTTTGCCGTCTGTTTGAGTTGGAAGCAAAAGGGCATACCTCCATGCCTCCAGTTCTTGGGGCAAAAGACCTTCCGAGGACAAAGCTTAGTGATCATATAGAGCAAAGACTTTTCAAGAACCTGGAAAAGGAGAGAAAACGAAGGGCGGAACTTTTAGGGAAGCCTCTCGAAGAAGTAAGTAGATGATTCCAGGGTAATCATTTTGGAAGTTGTTTTTTTTTTTTTTTTTAAATTATTATTTCCTTAACTTGAGTGCTTAACTGTATTTTAAACATAACAGGTACCTGGAGTAGACGATCTTGTCGTTAGAGTGGTTTTAGCCCTCAATAAGCAATTGAAAGTGAAGCAGCAGTTTTTAGATATTCTCCATGGTGAATCATATCCTACAGAGTTTCCATATAAATCTAAGGTACGGGATAGCAATTCTTATGAGTATATTATATTCTTTTTGTTCTTTGTTCTATCAATAGGATGCGGATTATTTCATATTGTTTTCTTTGTATGAACAAAAGGAAATAAAAAACAATGTAAATGTTTTTCATTTTATCTCTCTCACAAAATATTCTCTACATAGGTGATGATGCTGTTTCAGAAAGTTGAAGGTGTCGATGTTTGTCTCTTTGCTATGTATCTCCAAGAGTTTGGTTCAGAATGCGGGCACCCGAATAAACGTTCAGTATACATCTCTTATCTTGATTCAGTCAAGTATTTCAGACCTGATATAAAAACTGTGGACGGAGTGCCTCTGCGTACCTTTGTATATCACGAGATTCTGGTAATAATAAGAAACATCATTTAGTTGTCTAATTTTTTCCACAAATTTTGTTTATGGGTTTTATCTTTTGTGAACCATAAGAACCATTTGCTGATCTGTCTTTATTTGCCATCTTTGTAGATTGGGTATCTTGATTACTGCAAGCAACGCGGTTTTACCACGTGTTACATATGGGCTTGCCCGCCTATAAGAGGGGAGGATTACATACTATATTGTCATCCCGAGACTCAGAAAACGCCAAATCCACATAAGCTGCTTCAGTGGTAAGTATTCTCAACTAAATTCGGAAGACACATTGTGATTGACCTTCATTTGGTGAGAAAACAGGCTATTATTGAATTTTGATTGTGTTGGGATCTTTTATATGATTTATCGTTGTATTGTGAATTTTTGAATGTAGGTACAAGAAATTGCTTAAGAAAGCCAAAGAAGAAAAGGTTGTGGTGGACTACACTAATTTCTATGATTACTTCTTTGTTCCAAGTGAAGAATGCAATAGCAAGATTACAGCTGCTCGATTACCATACTTTGATGGTGATTATTGGTCTTGTGCCATTGAGGACATGATCCGAATAATCGAGAAAGAGAATGAAGAAGATTCTGCGAAAAAGTTGAAAATTCACGCAACGAAAAGAGCTTTGAGAGCAATGGGGCACAATGATCTGTCTGTGGAGATAACAAAAGATATCTTGGTTATGCAAAAGGTGGGATAGTAAATGAATTCTTGGCACTATTATTCCCAAAAAAAAAAAAAAAAAAAAAGAGTTACACTTGCAACCTTGAGAAAGTTCACTGACTTTTTTCATGAGGCTGTTCCTGCTGTTTGTCTTACAGTTCCCTTTTCTTGTTCTTTTTTTCTTCTTCTTTCATACTGACACATCTCTATTACCTTTGATTGATAGCTTGGCCAAACCATCCTACCTTCGAAGGAAGACTTCTTTGTTGTCCACTTGCAGTTCACTTGTACAAACTGCCATGAACCGATATTATCTGGAAGTCGTTGGTCCTGTAATCAATGCAGCAAATATCATTTATGTGACAGGTGATTATGTCTGTCTATCATATCTTTATTTCGTTTGAACAAGTTCTTTGTTATTTCCATAGCTTTCTGTTCATTCCTGTACTTTTTGGTGCTCTAATCTGTATTTTGCATCTTTTTCCGAAGAAATTGGAAATGGAAAAACCCCACTTCCCTCAGGCATTTATCCAGAAAGTTGATGCACTGAATTTTTCCCTAAAACATTAACACACATTGGAATACATTTCGTGAGCGTCTAGTAATTATATTTACTGTGCCCTCTGAATTTCAGATGCCTTGGAATCGAGCAAAATTCCAGTAGACCGCAAACACACACTACCATCCACGGGGAACAACACCAACTCTTCCAGGTACATTTTTTTTTAATTTTCGGATAAAAAAAAGGAGAGAGAGAGAGAGAGAGAGATGGTAATTGTCTCGATCATGACATCTTCTCATCCATGTTTTTTCAGATTCTGGTGAATGATGTGGCCGGTGATACCAATGACAAGGATATCCTTTTGGACAATGACTTCTTCAATGATAGACTCTCTTTCTTGAAGTTTTGTCAGGAGAATCATTACCAGTTTGACACAATCCGGCTTGCTAAGCATTCATCCATGATGATCGTGTATCATCTTAAAACCGCAACTGTCCAAACCTCTATGCAAACAGCAAAATGCTGCAGCTTTTGTCAACATGGCCTGGTTAGCACGGCTGAAGGGCATTGTGAGATTTGTTCCGAATTTAGTGCGGTTATCGGGTCAACATTTTTGGGTGCTTTAGGGGAGTTAACTGTTAAGAACATAGAGTGAGATCATTCTCTAGATAATTTTTGGAAAATGGTTGAATAGGACAAGGTTATCTTTGACATTTTTGGTACAGAAAGTGGTTTTTACTTTTTAACGTGTAAATAAATGTTTTTGATCTGCGAGGGCTTTATAGGATTTTTGGCCTGTTTGTTGGTGGAAATAAATAAAAGTAGATAATATGTGAGACTTGGGATCTAATGTGGTGTGAATGTAATTAGGCAGGCATCCAAGTCCCCATATCTTTAACATGTAAACAATCTTTTTATCTTTAGTATATATGGAAAAAAATTCTCTGATATCTAGTGTTTTTATTATTATTATTATTATTATTATTATTATTATTATTATTATTATTATTTCTGTCTTGCTAATTTGAGACTCGACACGAATCACATAGCGCGAATATTCAAGAGAATATGGTGAGAATATGCAGCAAACAAACACCGAATTTTCTAACTGACAAATTATCTGTGTTACAGTCTAGTCTGCACATTAATACTAATACACACATCTGAACCAAAAAAGAAACGAAAAAAAGAAAAAAATAACCTGACATTTTATTTTCATCATGTGGTGAGGAAAGTCCAGAGTTTCTTCCCAACAGAAACTTCACCCGGATGATCGACTTCATCACCATCTCCATCATTGTCATCATCATCATCATCATCCTCTTCACGGCTAGCGGTTTTGTAATCTTCCCCACTGTATTCTTCCATGGCACATTCGGCTGATCCATTAACCTCCTCACTCTTGCCCATGTCTTCACCATAAGTGTTTTCCATATCAACACATCTTGCATTTTTGAACTGCACCATACAATACAAACATGAAAAAACAGGAAGAAGTTAGAAAATACAACAAATGCATGTATAAGAACATAGCGATAATATATAAGCACTGTTTTGAAAGACAGCTGAATTCTTTTGTAGTTATTGATTAGACAAGAAATATGTCTTCTCTACTGAGGGGAAAGTAAACTCGGGTAAGAGAAAGTTGCTCACAGGACTGTCTGCAGAAAACTTGCTAGCAGTGGCAGTACTTCTCAAGGGAAGATGATCCTCAGCATTTTCTTCAGCCTCAATTCTTCTGGAGTCATGTCCTTCAATTTCTTTCCTTGAAGCTCCAATAGCAGCTTCAAGATTTTCAGATAGCAGTTGGTCACCCTCACCCTCCTTTTCCTTCCCTTTCCTTCTTGCTTTAGGTAAAGATCCATTGGCCACTGTTCCTACCGATCTGGGAAATTATAAATGAATTAATGAAAATCAATGAGTATACCAAAGATGAACACTATGCACAGATGGTTAGAAGGTACAATAAAAACTATCAAAGTGAATAATAGTGATTAACATGTTACAACTAAACAAGACCATCTGCATATCATTCAATCCAACCCCACACCATTAGGTACATATACAAAAAGAACTTCGTGTTAACTGACCAATCTACATGTCATAGATATCGAGCGGTAACCACACATTTCTTTTACATTTTTTTTTTTTTTTAATTTTCTGATGGGAGGAAAAAAAAGGATCTTATTTCATTTCTTTCCCGACACAAAAACTAAAATTTCAACTTTACTTTTTGTTTGTTCGGAGGTTGTATCTTCTCTGACCATGTTCAGCTGCAACAACTCTTCGTCTCCTCCTTGGACGATCACCGGTGCTGTCCGAACGGCCTTCAACAATTTGATTGACCGAATGGCCTTCAACTCGATTTCGCTTTCTAGTGTTCTTTGGTGCTCCACCAAGATCAGATTCTGCTCTATCATCATTAGTGTGAACAGAGGTTTCGGTTTCCACATTATCATTGGTCTTAGAACCACCAAATGTTCGTGTCCTACGTCCTCTTGTTCTAACTCCAGTACTATTAGAATACTCAGGTTTACTCGGGGGATCTTGATCAACTGAAAGAGCTTGAGCAGCAGCTCCAAATTCTCCAATGGCAGTCTCATATTCAACAATTTGGACATCATAAGAATCATTCGCAACTCTCGAGGATAATTCTGGTTCCTTTTCACCTGAAAGAGCTTGAGCAGCTCCGAATTCTCCAATGGCAGTCTCAGATTCAACGATTTGGACATCATAAGAATCATTCGCAACTCTCGAGGATAATAATTCCGGTTCCTTTTCCCCGCTTGGTGATGTGTTAGAAGAATTGGTGACATCATCCTGCTTCACCGAAGTTCCAACCTCAGGATTCTGACTGCAATCAAGATCGAGTCTCCTTCCTGGTGAAAATATAAGAATCTTCGAGGTGCACTTCCTGAGCCAAGACATGGTTTTTGTACCAGCAGCAGGAGATTTAGCCAGAGCAGGGGATGATGACTCAGCATTTAACCTCTCAGCCTCCTTCAAATAATCTTCTGCTACCTTTGGCAATGGATGAAGATCAGAGAGCATAAACTCACGAATAGTCTCCCTGCATGTCTTGCAGTTCTTCTGCTTCTCAGAAAACACAATGAAACGTTCTCTTTCCTTGATAAGTTGTTCTCTCTGATCCTTCAGCTTCAGGCTTAAACTAACAAGTTCCTCTGTGTCTTTTTTCATTCCGAGTTGCTGAGTCTCGATACGCTTCTTATTTTCTGAAAGTTCCGCGCGTTCTTTCTCCATCCGAAGTCTTTCTAAATCCATCTCCTCCATTTCTCTTCTGGCAACCTCCCGCAAGTAATTGACATTCTCGAGTTCCTTTCCCTTCTCCTTTTCAAACAGTTGTTCCCTCTTGTTCAAAGAACTCTCTAACTCTTCCTGCTTCCTTCGGAATTCAGCCTCGAGTTCCTGCTTCCGTACTTCAAGATCATGAATCAGTTGAGTTGTTTCACTTTGGGCTTTTTCAGCTAATAGTGCCTTTTCGTGCTCCATTCTAGCAGCAAAAGAATCTTGAGCCAGTTTAAGAGCTTCTAGTTCCCTTTGCACATATTGCTGTTTTTCGAGCTTTTCATTATTTAGCCTTTCTTCTTCAGACAGCCTTAGTTTCTCCAGATGACGTTTCTGTTCAAGGACATCCTCTTCCTCTTTCTTTATTTGGGTCCTTTCATTATCCAGCTCTTCCCATTCTTTCTCGAATTTCTCCTTCTCTTGCTTCAAATCATCTGCTTCCTTCATAAGTTGCTCGCTTTGGAATCTGTATCTGTTTATCTCCTTTTTCAGCTCCGATTGCAGGCGAGTAAATTCTGATCTTTCGTCTTCGGTTATTTTTAGCTGTTCCCTCTCTTCATTTAGTTTCTCCAACTGGCCCTCTCTGTGGGCCTTAAGATTCTCAAGCTCCGCCTTGAGACAGAGGAAGTTTTGCTTTTCTGCAAGCACAAGTTTCTTTTCTTTCTCCAAGTTTATCCTCTCTACTTTATGAGAGTTCTCCCTTTCCTTCAAAGCTTTTGATTTCGAGTCGATATCAGTTTCCTTGTCTCTCACTTTCTCCATTTTCTTTTCAACCGCTTGTTCCCGTTTCATCACTTTCACTTCCATGTGTGTGATCTCAGCTTCCTTCTTCTCCACCTCAGCCATCTTCTCCTTCAGCTGCTCGTCATTCGACTTTCTCTTCTGCTCCATCTCCAATTCAAACTCTTTCTGCTTCTTGGTCAGGATACTTTGATGTTCATCCAATTGTTTCTGAATCTCCAACTGCACACACATTATAAAATTAATCATTCAAAACGCAATCAGAAGACATGAAAAAAGTACCTTAGCCAGATCTACTTACTTTTTCTCTGGTGTTCAAGTTTTCTTCTAACTCCAGCATTTGCTTCTCTCTTTCTTCTAATCTCTTTCTAACATCAACAGCTTCCTGTAAAAATAGGGGAACAAAAAATTAACATTCATGGTAATCGGAAAAGTGAAAAGAAACTTATTTATTGATTGATAGTCCACATTAAGATGATATATACTTGCCTTCTCTTTACAAGCTAGGCTTGCTAGTCTTTTGCATATATCTTCTTCCTTGTTCCTCAAATCAGAATTGGTAATCTCAATCTTTTTCTGTAATTCTTCGAGGTCCGTCTGTTTTTGCTTCAAGAGATTATCATTATCGTTTGCCTTTCTCTCCCTTTCGTTTAGCAATCTTCTACCATCAGTTAGCCTCTCCTCTGCTTCCTTTAACTTCTGCTCCCACTCCCTTAAGTCTTCCCTTTGCTTTGACATAGAAGCTTCATGTGCCTCACGCCTGGGTAAAAATGTAAGTCTTTTCAAGTAAGACAAAAAATATGGCATATGAACACGGACCCGGCAGCAACACAAATAAATAAAATTGCCCATTCAAGAATGTAAGTATGATCGTAAGAGAACTAAGATCCTCGAGCGTACTCTGTGGCGAAAAGGGACCGTTTTCTTCTAAGCGCATTCTCTTGAGTCTCCAACTCATGCAATTTCCTCTCGATTTCTGAACTCTTCCTGCTTACCTCAGCAAGTTTGGCATCAGCCGCATGGAACTTTGCATCAACCTCCAAAGATTTCTGTTCAACGCTTGTGACTAATGCATTAGCCTCGTCCAATTTCGAGTTGGCATTAAACTTGATTTCAGCATGTTCCGAACGCATCTCACGCAAAGCCTTCTCAAGCTGAGGCAACACCAACAAACAGCATAAAAAGTTGGTCCTTGGTCAGGTACACTACATGAAAAGACAAAGCAATCCATGCAATTTATACATATATAACTTTACACAATTGAAATGCAAAAATAAAATTACAGCCATTATTCTAGATGAGATCATTAAAAAAATCCAATAAACCCAGGTAATTATCTATCTGATTCAAGATGAGGAGCCACAGATCGGGAAGTGCAAATCTTACATCAAGCACACACTGCTTTTCAACACCCAAAGCTTTCTTTAAATTCTCTTCTCGCTTTTCCATTTCTGACATTGCACTTGAATGAGCTGCTCGCTCTTTTTTCAAAGTATCAGATGCATCAGCTAAAGCTTGCGTTAGTCCTTCATGCTTCAAATTCCACTCCGTTTTCTCACCCAACAGGAGACCCATTTTGTACTGATATTCAAAGAGCTGCAAGGAACAAAAAAGATAAGACAGAAGAACTAAGCAACACAAATTTTCACCCACAACAAATTTTGATTATCTAACTTTACTGCAAATAACAAACTACTTTTAGAGGGACTAAAGCATCGCATGACTCGTGAAGAGTGGAATTTGAAGCCAAAGAGAAGTATCGAACTTCGAAACGATATGCTGCTTGTCACTTTAGTATTATGTCAATAATATATAAACAAGTATCAAACACTCACAATGTATGCAAACTGTCCTCAATTACATGAAGCTACTAAATCCAAAGCCAAAGGGTTCCCGTAGAGCAAGCAATACCCATGTGAAAAAGAAGATAAACAAAGAAACAAAATTTATCCCAAAGGGGGTAAAAGAGCAATCAAGTAAACTACTCTTTTAAAATAAATATGGCTGTCGTTAAAAGAGGCAATGCTAATTAAACATCCTACGAGACGACTAGCTTCAACGTACACATACAACTTCTATAACAAAGCAAAACCACCAACCATGGCCATGGAAAAATAATGGCTTGCTTCATCTACTACCGCCAGATATTGCGGTTCGCAGATAAAATACTTGCTCATCACCAGCTCAACTGTAAAACAAGAATATTTCATATAGATTTGTATGCAAGTTTTCCAATAAAATTTCACAAGATTTCTATGGTTTCACTGTCTTCCAAATTACGCTACTTTGGAGAAATTAACTAAAATTCCTAAAACCTAAATTCGATCTCACAAACAACAAAACCAATGAAAAGCACAGTAAACAAGGAAAATTACAAGTAGTTGAAAACAGAGTATAAAAATTAATTTGGTCAAAAAACGCGACGACCTCATTTTCGAGCTTCGAAGCCCTGTCGGCCAACATCTCCTGGTCCACGACCCCGCCGTCCCCAACAAAACCCACCGCCTTGCCTTCAGCTAATGCCTCACCATTCCTCGGGCTTGCGGCGCTAGTGTTCAAGCCCAAGCCCGGCCCAGAAACGGACCCGTTCTTCAGGCCCGGCTCACTCCTCGGCGACTTCCACCACAGCACCCTCGGCGGCGAGAACATTTCGCGGCGGATCTCAAAACCCAACACGGCCAAGAACGGAAACTGAATGGGCCTGTGATATTGGGCACGGACGCGTACAAACAAAACCGTAAATTGCCAGGAACCCTTGTGCGGACGCGAAAAGGGTTCCCAAATTCCGACGAATAGGATACTGATAAATCCGGTAACGTCTCGAAAACCAACTTTCTCTCTCTAACCTTTATCCCTTTCTCACTCCTCAAGCTCTCTCGTTTTCTTTTTTTTTTTTCTTTTTTCACAGAGCCACTTTTTATGGTGTGCGCCGATCACTTCACGTTCCTCTTTTATCTCCCACTTATATTACCGTTTTGTCCATGATATTATCTGTTTATATCCGTTAGGCCGGGGTATTTGCGGTAAATCGCAGGGCCGCCTTTCTGTGAAGAACGTGCGTGGTTTGGAAGCGTGTAATTTAGTGGACGATATTGCCCTTCACCGTTTAGGGTCAGTTATGGGTATTGCGTAAAAGGAACCCGAGGATATTATAGTAGTTTTATATTCACTGAAGGGAATATACGAAATCGGTCATGCCACGGTGTTGTGTGGGCTGTGTTTGTTTAGGATAAAAAAATAATAAATTATTAGGCAATGCAAGTTCTGTGTGGAATAATTTAGGACGTGCTTGGATACAAATAAATTCATTAAAAACGGGGTTTTATAGTTAATTTTGAAAAAAATTTATATAGTAACACGTTTTATAGTTAATTTTGAAAAAAATTTATATAGTTAATTGTTACTGAAATTTTGAGTTCGTATTAAAATAATATTTAAAATAAAATAATAAAGTTGATTTGAGAGTAGGAAAAAACAGTAATTCTATGGAGTTATCGGATGGCTCCTTTATGGAGTCATCCATAACTTTATTATTGACGCATGTTCAATGTACATTTATTGCAGTATACGTGTCAATACATCATATGTGAATAACTGGATGACTTCATAAGTCGAGCCATCCAATAGCTCCATACACATTTTTTTATACTGTTGAAATTCTTTTTTTTTTTTAAATATTAACGAGAAGCTCTATTTTATTTGGGCAATTTATATATTAAAAATAATAAAAATACAAGTGGACAAAAAAAAACAAAAAAAAAAGAGATGTGGAACAAAATGAAAACCACGTATACGTTTTCTTTACAAATTTAATTGTAAAACGTATTCTCATAATACGTTTTACAATTTTTTTTACAATGGAAAACGTATTTTGAGAATACGCTTTACAATGAAAAACGTATTCTCCAAATACGTGGTTTTGATTTTTTTTCCACTCGCATCTGTTTGTGTATTTTTGTTCCAGCACTTTATTTTTTTTTTTATTTTTTTTTTTTAATTTTCAGGTTAAAAAAAATCCTATTTTAGGTCATTCTTAGTGTGTGTTTTTCCAATGAACATTTGTTTCCTTTTGTGCTAAGGAAACATTTTTGCTTGTGCAATACAAAAGAAAATTATGACAGGTAATGGGTCAATTTTTATATGCTTTTTTTTTTTTAACTTTTTCTAATGTTGAGTAACTTTTATAGGATTTAAAGGTGGTGAAATGAATGTATTATATATGGTCTAGAAGGGTATTTGTTTATTAAACAGAAAAAAGAAAAATGAGATGAAACAATTTCTCTATTTATGGAGCTGTAACTTGATATTAAAGAGTGACTATTAAAGCTATAGATTAGCTGCATGAATGCATCACACACTGAAATTGATAAAATCTTATGTAATTATTAGTTTTGAGATTCCTTTATACTTGTAGTTGTAGTGCAATTTTATTTGTTGGATGAGTATTAATTAAGATAATTGTACTTGCAAAACTTATTCATGTATATCATTTAGTTCCCCTGAATCTACTTCATGCGACCTCGAGCTATGGAGTAAGGTCAACGGTCGTAATATAAAATTACATTTCTCACATGTCAATCATCATGAATGTGAACCTCAAAGGACATTTTGTCGCTTCGAAGAATGTGCCCTTGATTTTTGCGTGCGATCTCGACCGCTGATTCACAAATGATCCAATTTT